ATTTTATTAAATATAAAAAATTTATATAACGTAATAATTTAATTTAATATAATAAATATATTAAATATATAATAAATTTAATAATTAAACTTTTTCTTTCTAAATATTATTTAATTAATTACTATATAAAAATAATAATAAATTATTTTACATAATTATTAACAAACACCTATATGACCATTTTGGTAATTTTTACAAAACACATATTAGGCGTTCATAGCACTCTAAGGGTTAAATATAATTTTACCTATACATACTCATATATATATATATACACATTTATAAATCAATTAACGTAATAGTGTTGAATAATATTGTTGTGCAATTCTTTTTTTATACTCTTCAATATTCTTCATTTTATTTGAGTTCGCAGGATTCAAACCATACTCTCACTCGTTTCCTGTCAACTTTATATTTTATTGTTTTTTTTTTTTTTTCTGTAAATCGATTATGTCTCATTTTACAATCTTATGGGTGTTTAACATCGATTAAATACATCTCACTTTATATATGGTTTTTTCTTTCTTTTTGTAATGGATATCAAAATAAAAGATGATATTTCATTTTTAATACGTTTATATATCTGTAAGGTAAGAAGGTGGGGGGGGGGTTGAAAGTCTCGTGGTGTATCAAATATAAAAACGAGGGGTTGGTTTTGCATCAAAGATTCGTTTTGCTTGTGTTGTGTTCTGTTGTGTTGTGTTGTGTTGTGCAAGGGCATGTGCAAAGCACGCGAAGACGGAAGAATGCAACTTTCAAATGTACTTTCACAAAGAACTACTTTCTTTATTCCTTTGGTTGAAAAAAAAAAAAAAAGATAAATCATAGAATATTGCTGAGGTTATTCTATTGACGGGGACCTCAAGAATCCATATTCGATATACAGTTTTCACTTTGAACGTTTTCTTACTAAAGAAGATGACGATTATTCCTTTGTAGTTTGCTTTTGCATCCACTTTTAAGCATCTCTCTCTTTCTCTCTCTCTCTCTCTCTCTCTTAATATCTTTCAATATTTTTTCCAATTTTTTTCTATAGTAAGCACGTTATTCTAACATTCGTGATCGTGAAGCAATGATGTTCTACTTTTTTGTTTTTCTATTTTTATTGCATTTATCACTGTTTTTTTTTTACCTGTATTTATATTTTGTTTTGATTTCAACGAAGTATTTCTATTCAATTTATTTATTTATTATATTTTTTTTTTATATTATTATAATTATTATTATAACTTTATATTATTTATATATATATATATATATATATATATATATTATTTATTATATTTTTTATTTTTTATATATATA